TCAACAACATATGCCGTCTTCAATAATAAGCCCCAGTAGCTATTCGTTATTAACTCTTACCCCAACCAGCTCTTAAAAGCTAAAATGCTTTTGATTTTGAAAAACGATCTAGTATAGTGTATACATAATGGCAAAAAACCATCCTTTCGCCACCTAACAAAACACACATAGACGACACACACAAAATTCAAGTCAGGGCAATTGAAATGGAAATATCATGTATATATATATATGTATGTATTTTTTTTTTTTTTTTTTGTAACACAACGTTTTGTTAATCATGTGAGTTAAAAAGGGTTTCGGCTAATATCATAAAGCGTGCCCTCTGTTCCTATTTCTTTGTTATTTATTTATTTATTTATTCTTCTTCCTGTGTAGTGGGGGTTGATTTAATCTAACACATTCATCAATTGACGCGAAGGTAAGTTGACACTACTAGGACTGAAAATATTAAACCGAAAGACGATAAGGAAACAATTTTTGTCGTTTCTTTACGATAACCATGGTAAATTGACTCTATAGTAACCGTAGGAACAGAGCAAATTTTGTTTTTGACGAGTTCCGGATATAATTTTGACATTATTTCGAGRACTTCATCAAATAATAAATAACTAGCTAGTCCGACTAGTCCAGGAGAAAATTTCTTAATGAATGAACACGTGGTTGAGATAAAAGATAAAAAACAGTGAAAACAGGAGTGTTTGGTTGAAGATATTTAAGCAATTACACGGATAAAGATAGTTTATTTTCAAGTTTATTAATCAAAAGAAGCTTATCTATCCCCCACTGAACGTCTCAATATCCATGATGGTGGGCACTCGAGTTTTTCAATTCTATCCATGGGATTAAAACAAATAAAGAAAATTAGGTATAAAAGACATTGAAACACGATTTTGGACCAAATAAAACGTTCATTTGAGACGAGTTTAAGGTTGGGTCATGATAAAGTTATATACTATATAGTATATATTCTACTCCGAGAACTTTACCATTAAACGTAAACGCCGTCAATTCTTAATTCTTTTTCAGCGTTTTCTTTTGTACATCGGTGAGTAGACTTACGCCCCCGAMAAATCGCCGAACAAAGTGCAGCTGGCGCTCAATGCAATAACAGAAATAAAGTGGACTGATTTGGCAAATAATGCAGAAAAATAATAATAATGTAGTCTGAATACCTATAGGAATATTGAGAATACAAGGGTCACATATCTTGTACTATCAATCGCTTGTTACTGAAAAATATCTACATCCAAGCGATATAGGTTCTTGGTAATAGCTTGTGCGTCTCATTAAAAAAACGTCAGATTAACTACTGTGTGATAGAATAATTTCACAGGAGAAAAATATATACTATAAGAATGGAATTGAAGTACACGCAAGGCCATCTATATATCTCAGTAATAAGAGAGCCGCGTTGACCATTGAATGGCTTACTCTATACCAACTCGTGAAGTTTCCTCAAGTCAAGAAGTCGGTACTCAACTGCGTCAGTACACTATACCAATGCTATGCCGCTTTTGGCTGTTGTACTTTGATTGGATTGTTTGGTGTTGGGAGGCAGTGGGTGGGAAATGACAAACGCCTACACTAAATTCCTTGGTTTTCAAACGATCCCTGTGGCCTGATTGACCGACTGATATTTGACCAATTTCAAGGAATGAGGAACTATTATCAATTAGATACCGCATCTGATCCRCGGCGCGACACAGCTCTGTCTAACTGAATGCACATGTGGTCTATTTAATCTTAACCCTTGATAAACAATGATAAATGAGTGAGCATAGATGTTTCCGCAATGTTAAAGCGAGAGATTTCTTTACAGTTGCCCTTTGTCATTTGATTTTTCCCCATAGTTGACCATTTTATTATTTATTTCATAAAAAAAAAAGCTTGGATATATTCATCAGTTCAAAGTCCTACGGCTATATGTAGTCAGGGTACGTCCATGCCATCTTTCGCCTGGCTCTTAATATTGAAATATTATTCCCATTTTGAAAAGTCAATAACTACTAATGGGGTTCCTATATAGTGGGCAGGGCCAATGAGACTTGTAGATAGGTCTAACTAGCTGCTATCAGTACGAAAACCGCCGCGCCTCGACAGAAAGTGAAGGAATCCTTTTGTCTCTTCAAATGAAAGCACTATTAGTATTTCTCCATAGTATTTAATGTATAATCATTTTTCTAGAGTCGTACAATRCCATTCTGTTTTAAGAACATATAATTCCCTTGACTTAAATCAATGGGGATTTAGTCTATCTAAAGTAAATACCAATCTGATTGTTAGCAGTCGATCGAGTATTGCTCTTAAACATCATTTTAGTCTTAACTAAATTGACCAACTCCGTCTTGAAAATAGAAAAAAAAAAAAATCAATAAGAAGTGAAAAAAGAAATTCCAATATCGATGTGGTTTTAAAAATCAAAGGAATGTATCTGCTTATCAAATAGGTACAAGAAGTTCCCATTGAATTCCTCGTCATTAGTCCTATAYTCTAGGTTTCATCTTTGGCGAATCTCTAAAAATCAATCCATATACTCAGACGCCTTTCCAGGAGTTCAAACGAGTCATGCTAACCTGAGGGAATAGGTTTACTTGGATGTTTATTCATCCGCATGCATCATTATCAATGTTAGTACTCGTGAGACTCTGTCAAATTTTCTTTGGCTTTCTTTGTTTTAGTTGCTAAGCATCTCATCACTGATTTTGKGTACAGAAGACGATTAAAATTAATGAATATATCTTAACATAAGATCACAAACTATTTCTTAATTAAGAAAGGATAGTCGAAATGAAACTAAATAAGGTTTTTTTCTCCTTTTTGTTGTCGTAATTYTGAAAATTTTAAAGGAAGAATTTTTGGGTCTCTTGGGACAATTTTCGAATCATAGTGTTAAGACCAACTAGGCAAGCTGTTTTACGGCGAACTTCCCGTAGTTTATGAACAAAATGCTTTAGTTATTGTGAGAAGAAAAAGCAATTTAAAAAGCAGGAAACAAAAAAAACACAACAKAAAATTATTTGCAAGTAAAATAAAAACAACCACCTTTTTGGGGTACATTTTCTGATTTGTTTTCAAATATTTTTTCCAACCAATGTTTTYAAAAKGATTTTTATCACTATGCTCTAAGGGAGGATTAAGAACTTTTAAACTTTGGCAATACCGAATCAAAGCACTAAGTCGACAAGCAGAAGTGGAAGTGTTTAGGAAAATTTCTTCCATATATATATATATAGCTCGTTTTTATATTGTCTCGCTCACCGCGCTCGCAATTTTTTTATTTTTTTTATTTTTTAATTCGTTTCTTCAAAGACAGTAAATCTTTTTTCACAGTTCAAATTGATTATCTTCGCTAGCTCAATTTATCGCCTGGAGAAACAAAAAAAAAAACCAATAGTAAATCAGTCTTTAATTTCAGCCAAATTTCAGTCTATACAATTTTAATGACGGCATGGCTCTGTGAAGACGATTTTGTTCTATACGTGAGTGGCGAATGATTACTGTGTCTCTGACAACGAAAATAAACCTAATATATGAGACCATAAATGTACACCTAGGTACATTCTAATGAGGTCGATCTTATTTTATTATTGAAATTATTTTCGTTCTCTCTTTATTTTAGGTTTGTCAGCTGTATCTCAAAACACTCCAATAATCCAACACAAAATTTGAGTACAACACATTGATCCGGTGAAAAAATCACTTTTCTCATTATTATTTATTTATCTTATTGATT